AGGCGGTTCTATGTTTAAATGTGTATATATGAGAAACTCAGGGTGCTGAGTTCATCTTAAGACTAAGGAAAGGAATTAGAGATGCAGAGAAAGTGTGTGTGTGTGTGTGTGTGTGCGCGCGTTTGTGTGTGTGTGTGCACAGCTGTCTGGGTATTTTAAGGGGATACTAGACGGCTAGGATGTCTGGGACCTCCACATGCTCTAATTTGATGAATATTGTGGGTGGGTTTCTCCCCAGCCAAATTGTCTAGCATGTGGGGAGAGGTCTATGCCTGCCTTTACATGTTTTAAATCTGTGCTCCACTCAAATGCCTCTGCTTCCATCGGATGCATCTATGCTTAGGAAATGTGGGGACAGATGAGTGCGGAATGGGCTCGAGCGGCAAAACTCTAGAAGGATGCTCTGAATAACCCCAGGAGAATATATTCCTAAGGTCTGTTACAGTCTTTTGTAAAAAATTTATTTATTCTTATTTTTATTTATTTTTGGCTGTGTTGGGTCTTTGTTGCTGCGTGCGGGCTTGCTCACGGGCTCAAGAGCACAGGCTCAGTAGTTGTGCCGCATGGGATTAGTTGCTCCGCGGCATGTGGGATCTTCCTGGACCAGGGCTTGAACCCGTGTCATCCTGCATTGGCAGGCGGACTCTCAACCACTGCGCCACCAGGGAAGTAAGCCTCTGTTACAGTCTCTTTAACACTGATCTCAAAGATCAAGGGCCCAACGTCTAAGGAAACCATCCAAAGCCTTTATGGTAATTAGGTTATTGTTAAAAACAATTCCACCGCCTCCATGCCTCCACCCAGTCCTCTCCCTGCCCAAGACAGGAGTGTATTTCTCAGCCCCAATGATGTTGGGCCACGTGGCCTGCTTTGACCAATGGGATATTATGACATGATGCAAGCAGAGGACTGAAATGTATTTATGACCGCACAGCCCTCCTACGTTTCCACCATCACCATAAGCACCTGCCCCTGCTGGCTCACTGACCCGAGACAGATGAGAGGCATGTGGAGCAGACCCAGACTCAACCTATGGCTCCAGCCTTGACCCTCTGCCCTCCAGCTGACCAACAGGAACGTCAGTAAAAATAGATTATCGATGCTTTGAGCCACTGAAATTTGGACTGGATTGTCATACTGCATTATTGTTGTAATAGTTAACTGCTACAGCCCTATCTCAGCCTAAGTGTAACACAATCCATTGGGTGGACAGAGGATCTTTATGCCAAACCTCATCCTCTTTTTCACAAGGCAACCCTGCCGTGCCACTGGCAGTCAGCCCAGAATGCCCGTTTTCACCTTTCTTCCTAAAGATGCAGTGGTCCCGTGCCAGCAACCACTGCTCTCCTCTCCCTAACCCATAACCACTGCATTGTCTAAGATGCGCAATGATCCCCAGTCTTGCTGTGAAAATATCGTTATGAACCAAGTTATGCACTGTTCTTTTCGGAGGGTCCCTTATATAGGATGAACTCAGGGTATTCCTTCAATCAAAATCACACTCTTCCTAACTCCCTCCAGAATGGAACAGTAAGTAACAACAAAACCTTTGCCATAGCAACGTTCGACACATGTCATTTTCTTTCTCCAGAAATTATTTTAGGCAAACCTAGATTTCAGGAAAGCAATACTTCTCTCAAAGATGTGAGTGGTATAATTATTTAGATGACAATGAAAGACAAAAAAGAGACTCATTGGGCTTCCCTGGTGGCGCAGAAGTTGAGAATCCACCTGCCGATGCAGGGGACACGGCTTCATGCCCCGGTCCGGGAAGATCCCACATGCCGCGGAGCGGCTGGACCCGTGAGCCATGGCCGCTGAGCCTGCGCGTCCGGAGCCTGTGCTCCGCAACGGGAGAGGCCACAAAAGTGAGAGGCCCGCGAACCGCAAAAAAAAAAAAAAGTAAAAAAAAAATGATGGCTTAGATATACACTGGTTGACATAGAAAGATATTCTCAATGTATTGGATTGAGTTATTTAAACAGCATGTTATAAAACACTATAAATATTCAAATGTTCTAATCTATTTTACAATGTCTTCATTACTTTTTAGTTACTTTTGTAATAAAATAACTAGTCGTATTGTGGATAATAGATAAATGAGCAAAGTACTGAGATAATTCACAAATGAAGAAATAAAAATGGCCAATAGGGACTTCCCTGGTGGCACAGTGGTTAAGAATCCACCTGCCAATGCACGGGACACAGGTTCGTGCCCCGGTCCGGTAAGATCCCACATGCTGCAGAGCGGCTGGGCCCGTGAGCCATGGCCGCTGAGCCTGCGCGTCCGGAGCCTGTGCTCC